GTGTGGCGTACCACAAGGCTCAATATTAGGACCATTACTTTTCTTGTTATATGTTAATGATATCTGTAATGTTTCCAGTGTGTTTCAGTTTGTTCAATTTGCTGACGATACAAATTTGTTTTATGCGAATAGAGATCTTTTCTCCTTATCTGAACATGTTAATCAAGAGTTACGTAAATTATCTGTTTGGTTTTCATGTAATAAGTTATCCATTAACTTAAAAAAGACCCATTTCATGATTTTCAGACCAAGACAAAAACAATGCAACGTTGAGCTAGACATTTTGCTAAATAATTATAAAATCGAATTAGTAAAAGAGATTAGTTTTCTCGGGGTGATCCTAGATGAACATCTCACGTGGAAATCCCATATATCGTACATAGCCAGGAAAATTTCGAAATCGATTGGGATTATAAAAAAAGCAAGCTTTTACGTTTCTAAATCGTCGTTAGTTTTGTTATACTATTCTCCTATTTATCCATATATGCAATATTGTATACTAGTCTGGGCCTCCACTTATCCGTCAAATTTAAATCATATTGTGTTGTTGCAAAAGCGTGTTATTAGAATAATAAACCACGAGGTATATGACGCTCATACAGAGCCTATTTTCAAAGAACTTGAGTTGCTGACTTTCCATCAAGTGTATCTGCTTCACTTAGGTAAATTTATGTTCCTGTATCATAAACAAAGATTACCACTCAATTTTAATACTTTTTTTCATCGAGTTAGTGAAATTCATGCGTATAATACGCGGAATTTGAATTTATATTCCATTCCATTATGTAGAACAAATATTAGACAATTTTCTGTTAACTACCAAGGTGTAAAATTGTTTAATTCACTCAGTCATGATATTCGCGATGCTTCATCTGTTGGCTGTTTTAGACAAAGACTACAAGAATACTTATTAAATTTATAGTTTTCTGTCCATTTATCACTTTTTCTTTTCCTCTTTAATTGTACTTTAATTTGTATTAGTTTGTATTAGCTATATGTAATTATGTGTAATTGTGTGTCTCTCTGGCTTGATCAGGATGAAAAAGGTAGCCCAAAATTTATAAGCCTTATGGTTTCTCTTGGGCTCCCTTGCCAGTATAATTTATTTATTTATGAATGTTGTATTTTTTTATTTATTTTTTTTGGCAAAATAAATTGACTTGACTTGACTTGACTTGAATTGTTTGATTCTAATTTCGAATTGTCTCAAACTTGTTTCGGGGTTTTCCTGTAACAGTAAAGAATGATTCTTTCTGGATCTCTGTTTGGTAACAGTTTAGAACTGATAGAGCCATATCCATTATAAGTTTAGGTCTCCTCCTGTAATAACACTGGATTAGTAAGAGATGATCCTTACTGGACCTCTACGGAGGATAGAGCTATGCAGTATAAAGTTAGTTTAGTTTAGGTTTCCTCCTGTAGTAACACTGGATCAATAAGAGATGGTCCTTACTGGACCTCTAGGGAGAACAGTTTAAAACTGATGGAGCTATCCAGTATGAATAAAGTTAGTTTAGTTGAAGTTTCCCCTTTAGTAACACTGGATAAGATGATTCTTAACGGACCTGTGGGGAGTACAGTTTAGAACTGATAGAACTATCCAGTATAAATAGTTTAGTTTGGATGAATAGAGATGATCCTTACTGGACCTCTAGGAAGAACAGTTGCGAACTAATAGAGCTATCCAGTATAAATGAAGTTAGTTCAGTTAAGGTTTACAGGCATGCAAGGTGGGTGTCAGGGTATCATGTGGTAACACAAGCCCTACTCCTCCCCCCATCATTCAACACCTGGCTTAGACTGGGAAAGTTCTTATATTAATATTAAATTGATACCGCGGAACGATCAAGTTCGCTTCTTTGAAATTAATTAAACCTGTAAAAATAAAAATGTGTAAATTTCTAGCAAATGGGCTTGTATGCAACAAAACAGTGAATTTTGATACTGCACATGAATACAAAACTGTCGCAGAATTGAAGCGCTACATTTTCTAGTAAATCAAGTATAAATTCAGCATGAAAATACTTCGTGCGCGCTAATTGGATGAAACCATTACCAAATCTGATTAATTGAGCATGGTTTCTAAACGGAGCGAGATGAAAACGGAGTGCTTGGCGGCTTCGTGTCAACACAAACGCCGTTACTTTTTTGAACCGCTTGCAAACCAAGCATCTCAGGTCTCAAAACAGTAAACTCGAATGCTTTTCGTTTAAATTTCTTTGCTCTATTTGAGATATTTTGGGTTCACATGAGTGCTAATTTAATTTGTAAACAAACTGTAACAACGACGTAGTGTGAACACTCGTAAATTGTGCCACCTTTATGTCGCTCCGTTGTAGTGTGAGGGTATAGTCTATATAGTCTAAAACCGCCGAGTCGTAGTTCTGTTGCTATGGTAACTTAGTATATATGAAACATGTACTGTTTAATAAACGAGCAGGAGTGTTTTATTAGGTTTAAATTTAGACCTAATAAAACACGTCCTGCGAGTTTATTAAACGGCTTCAAACACACCTACAAATTCAATAGATATATACTGCGTTGTGTATAGTATTCTTTATATAAAGAATACTAATGAGGACATACTATGGTTGACATGATTTGCCAATAAGCTTATGAATTATTAATGAGTGTTTGAAAAATATATTAATGTATCGCTTTTTGACTCAGGATGTTGCGAAGCAACATCTGCGAGTCTTTGTGGTTACTTGAGTGTGGGGCGGTCTGCGAATCGGCCTTTCATAACCGGAAATCGGGCTGGAGCACGCGTTCGTTACTTCGTTCTTTTGATTTGGCAAAAGAAGCCCGACAAATGGCAAAATTTGCACGGTGCTCATTTGAAAAAACAACTGCAAACTGAAACTGCTCTAATTCTTTCTGTCACTTTCGTTTGATCTCATCCGTGAGTCGGCCTAAGCGGCCTTTAATTGAGTTTGTTATCTTTTCTTTCAATTTGTGCAAAAAAGTTTATATTACCTATCAGGCATGCTAAATCACAAAGAATGAAAGATTTTTTTAAAACTTTTCCAGACGTGTTTATATATTAGGTTTATTTTGTTCAACCGGTTTCTTAATGAGTGATAGCCATATTTGGTTGAAAATACCTGCTCTGAGCTTGTTTTGTTTTGCCTTTATTCAATTGCAGCAAAAACAGTTTGCGAAACGTAAGGATTTTAACAGTTGTATTTTGAGAAATTAGACAAGTGAGGAAATCGAGGACAAAGTTTATGCCAATCAGAAGAATTCTGTACATGTGGATACAATACCTCATTAAACATTCATGAATTATTCAAGTAATATGTGGTACTACGCTGATGATTGATGATTGATGTGCAGAACTGTAATTTCAAAGTAACTGACCACAAACAAATTGAAAGTGCCTCCCACGCTTATCTTTTTATAAGCAATAGTTTAATGTATTCGTGCATGTAATTTTTAAAATCCTATTTCGAGGTCTGGACTAGATTTCAAGTCCGCATAAAGTCCAAGCCACGGCAAAACCGAGGTGAATTAATTCTGATCCAGTCCAAGGACTGAATTAAATTTGATCTACTGTAGTCCTATATAGAATTGAATTAACATACTTCACCAGGTATCCAGTATTATCATGTGAGCAAAAATAAAGCAATATGGTTTGCTAATTTATCATAAATTATTAATGAGTTGAAGATTCGGTTATGCATCAGTATTTTAGTAGATCAGTGGATTTTCCGTGTTAGCATAACTATATAGTGTAACGATTTTTTAAAATGTTAATTTGTTAAACATGCCAAAAATCCCTCCCAAGTCAACGCCTCTGTAAAGATGACGTCTTTATTTCATATTGTTCCTCCTTACTTAAAAAACGCAGAAAACGAAAATAGAATTTTTGGGTTTACAATAATGTTACTACGTTAATGTCAATGTTAATACGTTATCATGAGCAGGGGAACGGTTTTATGTTTAACAAATATAAAACATTTTCCGTGTTGATATACAGTTATATCAACACGAGTGGAAATTGGGAAAACGAGAAATTGTGTGGAAACACGACGCCCGAAGGGCGGAGTGTTTTCACACAATTTCGAGTTTTCCCAACTTCCACGAGTGTTGATATAACTATATATCAATACGGAAAAATGTTTTATATTTGTTTTATAATATAGCAATGTCAAAAGCCCGAAGAATAAGAAAAATTTCCGTGTTACAAGCGGCGGAAAATTTCCCGTGTTGACATGGAGTTATATCAACACGGCTCTTAGCCAATCAGCGTTCAGAATTTACAAATGCTATATTATAATTTAAAATCAATATTTGACTGCATGGATTTCGGTTGGTATTTTTTTCTTTTCTAATTTTCTCATTAAAAATTAATCCACCCGAAAGCAGGTATTATTAAACAAAAACTATAATAAGATTGCGATTTCTTGACATTGGTTCGAAATGTTGATGTATTTTTTAAAAAGAATAAAACTTCTTTATAACCTAATTATGTCTGGTTTGATTTTTTAGATTCGCCTTTGCAGTGCCAAGTGTTTATCCAAAGGTATAAGCCTTTTTCTGTTGTTGTTAATAGTGTTGTTGTTGTTGTTGTTGTTGTTGTTGTCGTCGTCGTCGTCGTCGTCGTCGTCGTCGTCGTCGTCGCCGTCGTCGTCGTCGTCGTCGTCGTCGTCGTCGTCGTCGTCGTCGTCGTCGTTGTTGTTGTTGTTGTTGTTGTTGTTGTTGTTGTTGTTGTTGTTGTTGCTATCCCTGTTGCTGTTGTTGTTGATGTAGCTGCTGCTGTTGTTGTTATTGTTGTTGAAAAGTTGCTGCTGTTGTTGTTGCTATTGTTGCTGTTGTTGTTGCTACTGCTGCTGTTGTTGTTGATAGGGTGTTGTTGTTGCTGCTATTGTTAATAGGGTGTTGTTGTCGCTGTTGTTGTTTTTGTTGAAAGTTGTTATTGTTGTTGGTGCTGCCACTAATGTTGATGTTGATGGTGATGTCGTTGGCATTGTTTTCACCCAACTTGATGACATTCCTTAATGTCTTGTATCTTTCTTTCAGAGGCACATCTAAACTGTTTCTCAAAAGACTTGCTGCATCTTGCTGGTAACGTATCTCGAATATTTAATGAGGCCCTGGAACAAATTAAACACTGCATAGTAACGCTGGGTCGTAAGGGATATTTATCACCGGACCTCTGAAGAAAACAGTTTAGAATTGATAGAGCTATCTAGTAGAAATAAAGTTAGTTTAGTTTAGGTTTCCTTCTGTAGTCCTGTATAGTAACACTGGATCAATAAGAGACGACTCATCCTAGACCTCTAGGAAGAACAGTTTAGAACTGATAAAAGCTATCCGGTATAAATAGAGTTAGTGTAGTTTAGCTTTCCTCCTGTAGTAAGAGTGGATCAATAAGAGATGACTCTTACTGGATCTCTAGAGAGAACAGTTTACAACTGATAGAACTATCTAGTATAAATAAAGTTAGGTTAGTTTAGGTTTCCTCCTGTAGTAACACTAGATCAATAAGAGATGATCCTTACTGGACCTCTAGGAAGAACAGTTTAGAACTGATAGAGCTACCGATAAATAAAGTTAGTTTATTTTAGGTTTCCTTCTGTTGTAACACTTTGTCAATAAGAGATTACTCTTACTGGACCTCTAGGGAGAACAGTTTAGAACTGATAGAGCTATCCAGTATAAATAGAGTTAGTTTAGTTTAGGTTTCCTCCTGTAGTAACACTGGGCAGAGAACAGTGCACAAGTGATACAGCTTCTTAGTATAAGAAAAAGCTAACATCGGCCCTATATATTATTATTTAGATTCTTGCACAAGTTCCGAGACGGGTACTTGGGATGGAACGTGTAAAGATCTTTTCCCAAAAGGAACTGATTATCCAGAGTCCAAGGAGTGGATCTCGGCCAAGCTTGTTGGAGCCTGGTATAGAGTAAAATTTCTTAAAGCTTTTAGGATGAGCAAAGCCATTATGCAACAGCGTTCATGGGAGAATTCTCAAATCAAAGATGTCGCCATTGAATTTGATACAGGACCTAGCATACAGGTGTGTTCATTGAATCTACCGTCACTTGCATCTAAGGATGAACATTTGCAGTTCTCTCGCTAGACTAGCTTCCTGTAGTAACAATTGATCAATATCAGATGATCCTTACTGGACCTCTTGGGAGATCAGTTTAGAACTGATACAGCTATCCAGTAGAAATAAAATTAGTTTAGTTTAGGTTTCCTCCCGTAGTATAACATTGGATGAATAAGAGATGACTTTTACTGGACCTCCAGGAAGAACAGTTTAGAACTGGTAGAGATATCCAGTATAAATAAAGTTAGTTTAGGTTTCCTCCTGTAGTAACACTGGATCAATAAGAGATGATCCTTACTGGACCTCTAGGAAGAACAGTTTCGAACTGATAGAGCTATCCAGTATAAATAAAGATAGTTTAGTTTAGGTTTCCTCCTGTAGTAACACTGGATCAATAAGAGATGATCCTTACTGGACCTCTAGGAAGAACAGTTTAGAACTGATAGAACTATCCAGTATAAATAAATTTAGTTTAGTTTATGTTTCCTTCAGTAGTAACACTGGATCAATGAGAGATGACCATTACTGGACCTCTAGGAAGAACAGGTTTGATTGAACAGGTAGTTTACTTTATCTTCCAATCATTCTATTGTGGTTTTTGTGTATTTTAGATGACTCTCACGCAGAACATCAATGGTGCGCCTGAAGTTTTGGATGAGAAGAAATTCGCTTCTCGCTCATCATCAACAGTAACGTTTACAGTCCTGTCAATGTACACTGATAATGGGTTGAATCATTCGTCCAGTTATGTATTGCCAGGTTATAGAACGATTCGAATCTACGATGAAAACTGTGACAGAGGTAATTATAGCACACCGCAAGACAGTATATATATATATATATATATATATATATATATATATATATATATATATATATATATATATATATATATATATATATATATATATATATATATATATATATATATATATAATATATACTCATATATATATATATATATATATATATATATATATATATATATATATATATATATATATATATATATATATATATATATATATATATATATATATATATATATATATATATATATATATATATATATATATATATATATATACCTCCTTAGCGGGTTGTTTGTTGGTGCGAACATTTGGCCCGAATGTGATGCATTTGGCCCGAATGTGGTGCGTTTTCCCGCGCGTAATAGAAATTAATACAAAATTTGCAAATTTCGCAGGGTTATGTTTTCCGCACATTACAACATTGCGCGGCCAAACTTTGCAATTTTACTAATTTTAGAATGTTCTTTCTAGCTGTGGTGATGGGTTTTGTTCTTCTTGCCGAGACCAAAATTTCGTCTATAATTGGAATCATCCATTGAACTATATTCAAACTTTAAATTTTGTAGACTATCAAGAATTAAATATCGAACACCGTTCTGTATCGACTGACAAGTCTGTTGTCCGAAGTTGGTCACCATTTACTGGATCCTTGAAGATGTTCCTGACCTTTCATGAAACACTAACCTTCCACTTTTCTCATACCCCATCTGTCCTTGGCTACTCTTATCAAGTTGTCATCGATACGAACCGTGAGGAACTTGCCTTGTATAAATTTACTGACCAGCAGGGAAAAGTCCAGTTGAAAAACGAGTCCTTTTCGAACCATTTTGACAAGAAGAAAAGGCTGTTTTTTGTTAACAGGAATGATACGCATTGGGTGATTGGCCATGAATCTGGTGTCGTTCAAACAGTTAAGGATAGTTCACTATTTAAAAGGAAATACTGGGGCATTGCGTGCTCTTCTATGAAACCTGTCAAGTTGACGTATTGGAAACACATAGGTACGTAAAAATAGGAAAGTCCCGGTTACTGTTTTGCCCCATACCCTATGCTACCAAGCTCAGGGAAAAATAGTAACCGCATACCGGAAACTATTTGTGGTATACACCTGGACAATACTTCAAGTGTGACTATCCCCAAATAGAATTTTTGGTATGTGTAATATTTGGGTCATTTTAAGAAGAAATCTAATATATCTTTATAGTAAAAAAACCTCATCTTGATCAACTTTTTCACTGTCAAAGTTCCAGATGTGATGTCATTAGGTGAATTTTTGGTACAAAAAAACAAAGGAAAACTAATTTGCAATTCTGTGCTGAGTGGTTATATTACTACCTTAAAAAATAAGCAGAAACTCGACGTTTCGAGCGAAGGCCCTTCGTCAAGAGTTAGTAGCTAACGAACAGCCTTCGCTCAAAACGTCGAGTTTCTGCTTATTTTTTAAGGTAGTAATATAATCACTCAGCACAGCATTTTCACATTGGTACTACCTACACTGGTACAGACAGTTTTAGTATAATTTGCAATTCACCTAATGACATCATATCCGGAATCTTTGACAGTGAAAAAGTTGATCATGATGGGATTTTTTATTATAAAGATATATTACATTTCTTCTTCGAATGACCCAAATATTACACATACCAAAAATTCATATTTGAGGTTATTCGCACTTTCAGATAAATGATAATACAGGGTGTCCTTAAAAATCCCCCTATAAACAAGGTGTCCCAAAAAATCTCAAAACTACTGAAATAAAGTATTGTTAGAATTTGAATGCCTCGGCACTCTGCTGAACACACAAGTGCATCAAAGCTTGACATAAGTAAATTTTATGCGTAAAGAAACTGTTTAAGAAGCTGCTTTAAATTCCCAAGAGCAGAAAATCGTGCGCTTCACAAAGATATTTTAATTTCTTAATAAGTCGATATTTATAATAAATGCACCCTGTCAATATTTTACACATCTTTGCGTTCAGCTTAGTGCTATAGGGCATTCAAATTCTATAACAATACGTTATTTCAATAGTTTTTTTGGGACACCCTGTAGAAATCACTCTTATACCGCTGGGAATTTAAGATAGCTTCTAAAACGAACAGCAACACAAAAATGTCAAATTACAAATTCGTCTTACCGTCAGTTCGAGTAAGAAAGTTCAACTGACTACAGAGCAACGAGTATTTGTCGTAACAACTTATACGTTAACGCATTGTTAATGAATTGTTTTCGTAAGGAGATATTTACCATGTCTCTAAAAAAATGGGCCCCATATATGATTTCTAAACTGATTAAATGGATTCTCCATTATGCAACCTCGTTCCCAGGGCTTTTCCCTTTTTGTCATATGCTTTGCACGCTTAGAGTTTAAGGTTTAGAGTTTAAGGTTTTTCAATGGACAACCTTTTTTGAATTGGCTGTATAACGTTGCCTCACTCTTAAGGTAATTCCGCAGTTTTGCATTGCGCACTTTACTGCGCACATAACTTATAATTTCATCCATTATACGTACCGTTTACAAAAAAAATCATTTTATGACAATTTTATGTTACTTCAAAACATCTTTGGTTACATTCGTGCAAAGAATTACGTTAAAATCAATGTTTTCAAAAAAGGCATACAAAAATGTAGCTAGGGTTCCCTACGTCTGTAGTATATTTATTTACTTGTATTTCATGTTTTAATGCCACAATTCCCTAAAAAGATCGGTGACCCCCGTTTTTTAACTGATAATTTATTTCTTTAACGCATTTTACATTTCATATCCGAAGTTAAAAGAAAAATCATTTCTGGATTTGGAAAAAAATCCTTTATCAATGCATGTTCTCAAACAAAGATATGTAAAGAAATGTGGAAAAGACATTTGTGGATCAGAATTGTACACGTTAGTAGTTTCACTTCGCTCAAAACACAATATTTTTTCAAAAATAATTACAAGATAGGTTTACTAAAGCAAAATCCGCGCTAAAAACGTCAATAAATATCGGGCTGTTGTGATTTTGCTGTTACTCGTAATGAGCGTCAAGATGGCGCCATATTGGGGTAAAG